GGGGCCGGCGGGCTCGGCCGCGGCCGCCGGGCTCCTCGGGAAAAGGCGCTGGTGTCGGGGGAGTCCGCGCGGGTCCCCGCGCCGCTTGGTTCCGAGGGGCCCCCGAGCACCGGGGCTGCGCGCGGGGCTCGGACCTGTTGCTGCCGGGCGCGCTCCGCGGCTCCGCCTGTGCGCAGGTTTAACGGGGAGACACGGCCCGCACCGCGCACCTTGCGCGGAGGCAGCAGCGACTCCCGCCTCTCCGCTCCCGTGTTCCTCCCGCCGCGCAGGCCGCGTGGAATCCAGCGAGCAAAACAGCTAAAGCAACGAAGCGCGTCCTCCCCCCCTTTTTTTTTCTTTTTTAGTCCAAATTTTATTCTACAAATAATGTGTCGCACCTTTCATGAGCTATCCGAATAAAACAATAATCCCATAGGAATTACTCACACTAAGGAGAAAAAATAATAATAATCACATTTAAGGAGAAATGCAACATTCGACCAACTGTTCAATACTATGTCGTTGCAAAAGGAGAGCTGTTCTCTACAACCCCAGTGTGCATTACATCATCATATACAGGATTACAAACAAAATTACAGTACAGATTGATTCCAGTTGAACCAGCATTACATTTCAAACAGCACTTATTCTGGACTGCATTGTACATGCAAGAGCTATTGTTCTAATTACGGATTAAATGGGTTGAATTTGTTTTAAGCTACCGTACTAATCGACTACAATAGGTATAGCGCCCAACTTTAACAACCTGATTAGTTTTAGGCTCCGATTTATAATATGAGCATATGACAACCACGGATCATGTGAATATGTATAAAATCATGCATTTATGTTGTCTGGAAACATTAATATCTTCAAGTTCTCTTCAAAAAAAAAAAAAAAAGAACACGGAATGCAAAAGGGTTCAAAGACTAAAAAGAAACAGTGCAAATTGTATGTGATAGTCAAGCAGCTTTTGATTTAAAAAGGGTGTTGGCATTTGCTTATAACATTTATATACAAGTTTGTGCAAGTAATGTGTTGAACTGATATGTTTTAATAGAAAATAAGTCTCTCGTTCTTATATCTTCTCAAGACCTAGGGATCTGGTCCTTGTTGTAGGGGAAAAGAAAAAAAATAAAGGAGGAAAAGAAAAGAAAAAAGAAAGACTTTCATGGGAAATCAATTGCCCGGATTGTGCATTTTTTAAAAACTTTGAAAAGAAACAAGTGCTAAGGCAACATAACTTTTCTAAGCACTTTTCTGCTGGTTTAAATTAGTTAAATTATTTCGTATAAATTAGATATAATTCTACCTTTCCAATATGTATAAAAATTGATGAAGCTGCATGGTTTAAAATAGGAAATTCACATTATAAAAAGTCATTAAAAATTCTGTACAAAAATCACAACAAAATAATTCAGCATGGGAAAAAGGTAACAAGTAGTAAAACGCCGGTTGAAAAATATATAGATCTCATATATATTTTCTTTCTTTCTTTTGTAATTGGCCCATCGCGAGTTTTAAAAATTGCATAGATCCTAATTATTGCTCGTGACTTTCGCTCTGCCGATGGAGGGGGCTCGGCCGGGAGGAGCCGGCGGGGAGCAGCGCGGGGACGGCTGCGGGGCTGGGGCGGGAGGCACTCGCGCCGCGTGGGGACGGCGGCTCCCGCGGGGCCCTGCCCGTGCGTGGG